CCCAACGTCCAATATAATGGACAATTGTTAACTATGAATGCATTAGCGGTTAGCGGCAGAGTTAATTTTTACTTTTATATTGTTACAGACCCGATGGGTCTAAAAACCCGATTGGATTTCGTATTCCCAAATAAACTAACATTAGAGCCGTATAACATAAAATTAGAGTGATTTTATAGTGAGGAAAACATGAGTGCTGTTTATTGCAATATAGACATACAATTATAGGTATTATATAGATGCTAATATTTGAAGAAACAATCAATTTCAATGAACATTGAGCTCGTAGTAACATATACAGTATTACCAAATTAGTTCGGTCTCGGGATGATGGACGTTAGAATGTTTTATTTCATTTTAATTTCTAAGTTAAGACAATGTTTTATTGCATGGCGCACCTATTAAGTACCTATTTACTTGTATTTCATAATGTTGTATAAATATAACAAAGTTTAGTTCGGTTATTGTATCCAATGTGTAATGATAACTCGTCCAATTACACGAACTCTGGTAGATTCTGCAATAATTGATTTAATATAAGAATGATGACACCTGAATAAATAATTAAAAAATAAGAACTCACTATGGTCACGCGATAGTATTGAAGTATTTTATAGTAAATTAACGTTTCTTTGTCTGTTTGTCCTCTAGAGATTCAAAAACCAATGGACCGTTTACAATAAAAGTTATATAAATAGATTCTTTGAGACTCGAAGGGTGTTTATTGTTCATTTTTTTTTTGAATCCCCTGCACGGTTCTATAGGGTGGCATACTCAAGCATTTAGTAATTTGAGTAAAATTGAGTAATTTTTTGTTAACTTAAATGGTTGCCATTGGTTACATATTATATTATTATTATTATTACCCAGTAGTAATATAGTAGGTATAAAAAAAATTAAAATCAAATACTTATGAACAAAATAGTTACAATAGCTATGCTTTTTTAATTGCATGATGCGTAAACACATAAAGATGAATACCAATATTAACGAAAACGGAAACGGAAACGGAAAACGATAGAAAAATAGGTTAATTTTAACCCGGGTGAACTTTATAATAATTAGCGCTTAACTAAAAATCAGCCGGTTCTTATTTTCAAATCATTCACTCACATGTTATTATAGAAGTAAAACTTCTTCAAGGAGGGTACATCACCGATAAAAAATTGTAACAAAATCATATGCACACGGCATAACATTTCCAAGACAACGAAAAATAAATAAAATGTAAATCCGATAATTATTATTATTTTTATCTATTTAGATATTTAATAATTATGTAATAACTAATAAATAATAATCATGTACTTATATAATAATAATATTATGATGAATATCGACACGATTACAAGTTATAATTGTATACTTTATTTATACATTTTTAACACACTTACTGATACAACATAACCATAAGACAGTATCAATAGTAATTTTATTTTAACTTGAAACTTAAAAAAAAATAATGTCTAAAATTAATCTATTATGAAATAATAAAATAAATAGAATAAAAATATAAAAAGAATCAAACACTTAAATTATTTTTTGTATCGCGAACTTGAACCTAAAATCCTATCAGTTCATGCAAGTCCTTACGAGATTGTTCATTTTCAGAAAAGCTAGATATCACTAAAAACTCTACACTAAAAATGTTACACGCGAGTGCTTGCACACACACACACACACACACACACGGTTTATTTTTTACTTTTTTTCTAATATTATATCAGATATTAACTATCGGATATAATTAATTGATTAATGCTAACTAATTACTTTATGATTCATTTTTGCAGAAGTGGCCTACAGCAGGTAAGGTTTAGTAGGCCATTGCCCGCATACGTATTCGGAAGAAGAAAATGAACGAGGAAAAGTATAAATAGCAAATAACAACATTTACGGCGCGACTATCGCTTGTGCCTCGTGAATGCCTCCAACCCGTGATCTAAATCAGATAAATTATTTCACACCCGTTTCGGCGATCGAAATTCTAGCGCCGGCTACAACTGTTGGATGATATTAATAGACGCGTGCAATACGATCATTTGCCACGTTTCGGGTGTAGGTACGCGCGACAGCAGAAGACGACGTAACCGGCGTCGCTTCCGACTTTAACAAGATATCAGTGTTTGTCGACCATCCTAAATTAATATTATATTATCTGTCTGTCCTGTCTTATAGTTTGGCGTAGCCGATGACCCAACACAACGATGGCAGTTTATTTATCATGTATCGTTCCATTCTCTGCAGGAGCTCAAACAATCACGTATACAAGACCGTCAAGACGTATAATAAATTAAATAATACGAAGCGTATACACGGGCAAGGGGTTGATATAATCGCCGATTGCAATAATCCCAATATATATTACTATGATATATTGTACGACTGTTAGTACCTATACGCCGATTAAAATGATTACACCGATAAGTTGTAGGTACCTACGCGTAGTATTATTATCCTGTGAACGCACGGTGCTCGGATATCGGTGAAATAAAAACGGGGACTGTTGGATTTGAAAGAAACTATTGTCCCTTGAAATGATTAAACTCGAGCTATTGCCATTGTCAGAGAAAATGTCCCACGCAGTAGGTACAGGCTACACAGACCACACCTCCTACCATCAATTTTCAAACAGTTATAATTACAATATAAACGTGCCAGTAACGACTATATGACTTAAGAGCGATTAAAATAAATATTTTCGTACAATTGTTATTCATTTACATTATAAATTTATAAATAACTTTAATATATTTTTAATTACGATCAAATTATATCCCATGATATAGTTGTGATGCACTATCATAATTGTATACAAGTTGTATAGTGCATCAAATTGAATTCGAATATCATATTGGAATTAGGGAATACAAATTTAAAAATATTTTATAAAAAGGATCACCTGTTTTGATGAAAATAATTAGTACCTATCAAAACGAAGGGCTCTCAAAGTATTTTTTAAAAAAATAGTAGAGGAGCTTCATCCATGTGAAAAACCCCCAACCACCCAAAAAAGTCTTGAGCCCTGACATCAAGTTTGTATATAATACATTAGGGCTTAAGGCCTCCAAACTTATTTGTTCGAAATCCATTTAAAAAAAAATTAAACATTCTTTGTTGGTCAAAATATATAAAAGTTATCACATTTAAAATTTTAATTTGTGAGTTACTTAAACTAATGAATAGTTATGTTCAATAATTAATGTGGAGCTACAAATTACAATATGTACTTTGCACTTAAATGTATAGCAACTACAGTGTGCTCTCTACAAATGTCTCGAATATAACGTGCGAGTTGTGAACTGGTGACCCTATAATAATAATACTAGAAAAAAATTACCCGAAAGTCAATAGAAAATTATAATATTTTCCGGCAACCCTTACTCAGTGAAAACCAAAATATTGACGACACTTTCGGGTAGATAGGATTGAAACCAATTTTTATCAATCCACTGCACTACCAAAGTATAGCTGCATAATCGACATTTTAATAAAATATTTAAAGTCGATTGCCAACCCCAAACGTATTTGTTCGAAAATTTCGATTTAACTAAGAAAACCTAGCATTCAATTGTAATACTAATAATACTATTTAAAAACTATTTTGTACGGTCGATACGCACGTCACGATGAACTGTTTTCTTTTGAAATGAGTGATAAATTAGCTACTTCCAATTATTACATTAAACCATGTCTACTTATACAGTATTACAGCAGTATATATATGCGTATCTATTGCATGTAATTAAAAGTAAAATTATTGTTTAAAAGGTCATATTATTGTTTAATATAATAAGTGATTGTACTTACCTGTTTGGTCGATGAGTCATTACTCATTAATAATTCGTATTTGATAATGATATTATAATAATAAATTGTTATCTATTTGTATTTAATAGACGAATGACGACAGAAGAGCCATAATAATAATACTAATACGCGTGTACCAATAATAATAATAATAATAATAATAATAATAGTAGTAGTATAATGATAATATGCCATATGTGACTGTTATCGGATAGGGTTTTTGAACATTTTTTTTTGTTTAATCTAACCTTACCAGTTACCACCGTTTCCACATATCTAATTTAAGTATATAGTTACTATTATTGTTTTGCTAATGACCGCTGAGGAAAAAACGACCAAACAATAATAACCGCAAACACGGTATCTATGTTGTACAATAGGTATAAGACCATAGCATAGAAAAAAGATACGTTACGACGCTACACAAAATGTGAAATGGAAAATTTATATCATCGTGTTTTCTCTAAAATATTATTATTTAATTCGAATTGAGTACATTTCGATGCCTATTCACTCGTTGTCCAGGCGTTTTGGCCTTCGTAAAGTTTCCGAGCAATTATTATTGTTGACGCTACACATATTTTTTAAGAATAATATTATATTTGTATACATCGTTGGTAAAACATTGATTAATGATAACAATGTATTACGCATTCGATGTGCCGAGTTTATCTGTACGCATACAACATAATTTGAGTAAATATAATACAATAACGAATACGAACTAGGATTTCATATTATAGGAAGGGACTTCAATAGAAAAGATAAAAATTATTAGACGCAAATGTAATCTTATCTTTTCTTCTTTATTCAAAGTAATAAAATAATTTAAAAAACCAGAGGACATAATTATAATAAACATAATATAAATAATAATAATCATAATAATAATAATAATAATAAATAAATATTAATAATAATATTATTAAACAACAGTAGTATGTTTTTTTTAATTATGTCTAATAGTGTGTTGAAAAAAATAATAAATAAAAATGTTGATCTAATCGACATATTAAAATATGACGACGAGATAAATATTAAAATTATCATTACAATAATGTTAGTCGTAATAAAAAATTAAATAGTTAAGTAGCTATAGCCTCAAAAAAAAATAATTTAACTTATTCTTATAAACTTAGGTATAATCTAATATTTAAAGCATGAAAAATTAAAATATAAAAATACTGTGATATAAAGTCTAAAGGATGATACCTCTTATATGGGTTAAATGATATTCCCTAATGCCCTTTAATTTGTACGAAAAATATAATAATATTGAAAAATATATAAATATAATTAATGTATAAGAATAAATGATTACAACCAAATAGGTTTGATATTAACTTCTAATAATTTTACTCGCTTAAGTATATAGGTATAAGTACCTAAAAAAAAAAATAAATTACGAAAAAGCTTTAATAGCGTAAAAAAATATTTCTTCTTCTTAAGACTAATTAGAAAAAAAATAGTAAAAAAATGCCCGGAACATGAGTAGATTTGGTATTAGGAATAAACTTAGTAATTCACTTGCCCAGTGGCGACGGAGCAGCGCCAGTGGTGTGGTGTCGGCCCCGGCTTCGTCGCTGTGGACATATCCCTCTCGCTCAAATCTCAAATGGTCGTCGGTATGATTTCCGTGGTAGTCACGGGTCTGGTCTTGCAGCGGTACACGTACGCGTTGACAGACAGATCGTCGTCGGTCTTCAAGCACGCCAAGTTCGAGTTGCAAATGCATCTGTAATCGAGCAAAAATGCACGTTTAAAATCGACCGTTGTATTTTATTACAAGTGATCTCCGACGGCGGGATGGACTTACGTGTTTTTCATAAAGTAATCGATGCGACGGGTGAACGGCACGTAGATGGCCCATCCGCAAGGGGTGTTTTGGTGGCATTCTTTGACCGGTCCCGTGGTGCTCTCGGTGGCAGTAGCGATAGACCTCTGTAAAAAACCGACAACAATTACGTTAAAAAAAAAAATTCGCACCTTATCGTAACGGCTTTTGGGGGGAGCGCAACGACAACAATATTATACGATGGCATAAAAATAAAATACACGGTTTATTTTTCGAGTAGGTATAATTTGTTTTATTTCATCGACGACTTACCCTGTTGTGTACGGCAGCAGCTCCGGCACTGGACATCAAGCACAGACATATCATGGCGAAGAAAGCAACGGCGAGCATAGCGTTTTTGTTGTACTTGGAAGCCTTGCCCGGGCGGCTGATGTCCGCTTTCGGGTCCTCTTGAGCCGTTACCAGAGTCGAGTTGTTTCTGCAGCGCATGATTGTTTCGAACGTTTCCACAGTCATGTTGTTTCTTTGCAAACGAAAATATTAGTGAGAGACGAGTGTGATATTATTTTCGAAAAATAAATTCGAATTCGACGTGAGCAAGACGGCGGCGGTCGAGCGGAAGAAAAACCGGTAAAAACGATTGGGTTCCAACGAGAGACGATGAGAAGACTTCCGGAGAGGAGACGATCGTCACGGTCGAGAGTTGGCGTACGAATGTGAACGGGCAACGTGCGACTGAAGTTCGGTGTGCGAAGACTGTTCAAATTGAGGCGGGCTAATGGATTATATAGAGGGTCGGCTAATTTGGGAGGGGGGGCCGCCGTTGAATGGAGAGATCCGCCGCTGCCGACCGATCTAATATCTATATACAAAGTGTAGTACAATCGCCGCCGCCGCCGCCGCCGCCGCCGCCGTCACCACCACTACTGCCACCCCACCGTTACCACCGCCGCCTCGTCCAAACACACTGCTACCACCAACACCACCACCACCACTACGTCAACCAATAGTCGCAGCCGCCGATAATATGCATTATGAACGTGTTATAATAATATAATATAATATATTATAATAATAATAGGTACGTGCGTTTTAAATCGTTCCTCTAATTATATTATTATTATTTTTTTTTCTCAACCGTCGCCGATGATTCATTGTAGAAATTCCAGAACAACTTTCATTCGTCTGATATTATTATTATTATTATTATTATTATTATAGATAATAATATTATGTAAAGAGCGTCGAACGCGACCGGTCATTTTAGGTCTAGGTCTCTCTCTTTCTCGGTATTATAATATATCATTACAATAATTCACTGCTACAGACGTCCGAACATCAATCACGCGGGTTTTTTTCCCGTTCGCGTTAATTATTTTCCTGAACGTTTTTCATTGCCAAATGTTCTGCGACATTTAAACGTTATTGGTTTTTTTTATTTTTAACGCTAGACAATTTTGCATCATACATTTTTCCCGTCGAACGGCTTGCGCATACATTATAATAATAATAATAATATACAATAACATAATTAGAGCCGATGACAAACGAGTTAACGCATTATTACCTAACTCGCGTGCATCGGGTAAATTCTACTCTAACGGCTGAATCGCTGTAGTGGTTAGTGGCGGTAACACTAATATCTATAATAATATTATTTAGTGAGTACTCATAGAATTGGTGGCTGTCGGTCATCAAAACCGTACATGATACGCGAGTGTAGGTACAGTCGTGAACGGTTAGTGTGTGCAGGATAATTCCAAATGAAAAATAAAAAAATGACGCGAAAAACGATACGAGTTACACTTATATTGTATTGTAAACATCAAACTCTCTAATGATGTGCATTTTAAACACACGGGAAATGCACTTATCCGGACGTCGAAATTATATTGTGTCAACCTCAACCGTATGGGTAGGTGCCTACACATTTATTATTATTACACTGAACACATGTGCTCGCGTATTGGAACCTATGGGCGACCGTATCGATTTATTATAATAATCTAGCCCGCGAATGTGAGACTACATGCAAACACTAGATAATTGTGGTACTGTATGGTATAATAATTACGTAGGTACTTGCACATAATATAGGTACATCCGCCGAGACGGAAAACATGCCTACGTAAATGTTATCTATCCGAGTGCATATACATCCAGTTTTAAATAAATCGCAATACCGTTTTAATGAGAATTTCATACGTCTAAATATAATATCATGTCTATATTTTATTATTATTGTATTATAAATAATATAGCAATAACATAATTATCTTTCGAATAGTCTTAATTTATTATCTGCACGGTTGCACGGCCGCGGATGACGTTATGGTGGTCATTTCGTACAACCGTCGTATATTTTAACAAGGTATAGATAACAATATGATATAATAAATTAGATTGGTAGGTATAGGTTACCTTTACAATATATCACTTGCTATTGGAATGTGAAATAAATACAATAATTTATAAAAATATGTGAAAAACAACTATATATTAGTAGTCAAATTGTATAAAATACAATTTCACACTAGAAAATGTTTACTAATTATTATACATTAATACCTACCTACTGCACGTGGTATATAGAATTCTGAATTATGTTATCGATTGACTTATTATAAATTGGTAGATAAATTAAGTATTCAAACATGATACTATGAAATATCTAATTATTCAACATAATTACGAAGCGGAATAAGTATTGAACTTACAGACTACAGTGATAGCTGATAGGCATACTTATAATATATAACTATTGTTATAATAATAATAGTATTGATATGACGTTTTAGTATCTGATGTATAACATAATCCCTATAAATACTTTTGATTATTTTTATTAGAAAAATAATATGGGATCTATATGCGTTCATTTTTTTACAACAACAATATATTGCGTATGTATTTTTTGTTAAAATTAACTATAAACATGATTTATGAGGGCGGAGAAAGGCGTCCATTCACTGTTTTACTTGGACTAATGGGGAAATGTTTAAAAGTCAAGGAGTTAATTAACGGAGATCTTCAGTTGTTCCGGAAACGATTTTTGAATATTCTATACAGCTTAATTATTTAACTCTTATGGGTAAGGAAGTGCAGGGATCGTTTAGTTAGAATTTCGGAAACATGATATACCTATTATAGAAGCTGTGTGAATAGTTATTTGAATAATTTGTTTGGTATAAATTTGAGAAAATTTTTTGTCATAAAAAAATCCATACACAACAATCCATTGAACCATCGCGCTATCAAATATTATTAATGCATTAGGTACATAATATTTTATTTTTAAAATGTATTAAAATTTTATAATTTTGAGTTTGTCAAAATTATTGTTCTCCGCACTAGTGAGTTTAAGCAACTTATGGAGTTCCAATCCATCAAAAAAGAACTTTGTAGCCTGTGGGTATGCGTAATTTACAATTTTTCCAGAATCATTAATAATTATTAGTGTATTATGTTAACAGATGTCTTAGTACTCAATTTAATTTCAAAGAACTTAGTGGAATAAAAAATCTTTATAAGGTTCTATCAAATGGTATCTCTCTTTTGAAATTGATATTGACAAATGACCATTTATATAACACACGAGTAACAAAATATAATAACTGTCATAAAAACGAGTTATTGAGGTAATTATAATGTAAGGTTAAATAATTTATACCTGTAAGGACACCGCAAAAGGTTAATAGGAAATTCGTAATCGAATTGACGAAAGACATATTTTAAAGAAAACGAGTATCTACTTACTAATACACATGCATTTTATGAGTTTTTAATCAAAGTATATTTTTTTTGGTAAAATATTCTTTTAAAAATAATAATTTAACCAAATGAGTGTTAGCTACATATTATGTGTATTTAATATAGCACAAATATTTGAAAAATATAATTTGTCAGTTTTTAAAATTCAATTTCTAGTATTTTAGGTTTATTAGAAATCAAAAAATATTATAGCGTTTTATTAATGATTCAAAATCGTTTTATATTTCTGATTCTTTAATTTAAATTTAATTGTTTAGTTGTCGAACACCAATAAATCCCTTTGAACGTATGTGTTTCTGGTCTATACGATGTTAGGTATTTAAATAATTTTGTTATAGTACGCCTACATAATATTATTTTAAATTATTTCCTTATTCTTATACCGCGCGGAATATTATATACTCATTTGTTACTAACATTTATTCTATTCATGCAATTAGGATCAAACGAAATCAATCATCAAAAGACAGAAAAGTAAAAATCAAATCATAATAATAATATTAAAATGTTTTATCGTTGCTACTTACCTACTATTATTAATGTCTATTAAAGCCGTGCCAAGATATTCGGAGGACGTGCGGTCCGTCACGGATCGTAGTCGGCAACTTTTTTCTCCACTGTCTATCGTAAAAGAACTCTTGATAAATCGACACGATTTAATACTGAAAAAAAATTGTACATTTCTTCACTTCATAATATATTATTGATTTATGATGTATACATATTATTGTTAATGTTAATCGACGTGCTTCAGTACTTATATATAGTTATATAGTTACATTATACAGGTATTTTCTAAAAAAAAAACCATCCTCATTCAATACTTCAATGAATGTATAATGTCTATATTTTATTTTTGAAAGCTATTATAGGTCTACACATACACTGCATTATTTGCTAAAAAAATATACATTTACACGTATGCATATTACTTATGTTCGGGAATATAGATCAATAAAATTCGAAATTACTAATGATATAGGTACAACATAGGGTACCTAGGTATATGATTTACGTATAAAGAAACTGTTCACATTGTTTACATTTGTGATTTTATATTAGTAGATCGATCTTATAATTTGATATCGCATATAGGTAGTTTATTGAGTGTAATACTGCGGTAACGTGTAATTGGCCATAGGTCTAAGCAGTAACACTGTTGATGAATTTGTATTTTCATTAAATTTTTTCGGACCAACTGCGTTTGCTGGTTTACCGCGCAAAAGAAAATGTGTTTTGAATCCCTATATAAACATAGACATAAATGTAAGTTTTTCATATAAGCCAATAGGAGGCAAATACGATTTTCTACCCGCATAGATTTACCCACTGTGAAAATTGTTTTTTCTTTTTTAAATAAATATGTTTTTTTTACACTCATAATGTTTCTCCGAATTATAATCAATTATCATTAAATGTCCCTATCTAGAAAAAATAAATCGTTTCATAAATCAAAATGTACATATATTATAGTATTATACACATTATATTGTAGTACCTATATGTGTCCTACACGGTTTAGGTATAAATCGGTAAGTGCCTAATACATATATAATGCACATCATGAGTTATGACTAACACGTGCGTTTCATCATGTCGTTTCACGTGTAAATTAAACTTGAAACCGGTAATATTATGTATATTATGTAGGTCTCGGCTGCGTCTCATTTGCATTATCATCTATTTTTTCCCACGTATAAAATTACTTAATTAATAAATAGGTAGGTAAGTATATGAAATATAATTTATACTATATAGTTTTATGAAACCAATGCGATTATACTTCGGGTGACCATCACATTATCATAATATCATATACGTACCGACACTTAAATTATAGGTTTTTGTTGCTACAGTACTACTAATCGTAATATCCTGTACAAAATTGTGATCAAATCGAACTAATAATATTTGCGAGAGCTAGAATAACAGATTCAAACATCGTGTGGTGATGCACAGCCATCCTACAATATGGAAGTTGATGGATAAAATGAGTAAAAAATTAAAAAATGTTAATACAGCAAAAATAGGATTTCATGTATTTGGGGAAAATCTAAATCAAATAGAAAATGGATAAAAGATTTGAACGGTTTTTACGAAATATCTGACATTGTATGGACGACAAAATAGGAAGGATATTTGTATAATAATAGTAACTATACGCTAGAAGTGTAGCAATAATAATTAGGTAACTGTATAATTAATTATAATTATGACTAAAATATTTAATTAAAGTCATAAAATTGTATATTTAACAACTTGGACACGAAATAATATATATAATAGTAAATATTAAAGTATACATTTTTTAAACAGTTTGTTTCTCTGACATGTATTGGGGTTTTTTCATCTAACTTTTATCCTTGGACTTTTTCCTCGGACTTTTCACTTTTTACCGCCATGCATAATAGTTGTATAATGTGTAACAGTTATTTTATAATTGTAATGATTATAGGTAGGTATATTCATTTTTAACTTATGATTTTGTCATTCCAAATGTATATATAGGTCGGTATATTAGTCAAATTATTTTATTTATTATTCATTCAAACCAAAAACAACAATAATTTAATTATTAATTGATTTTTAATTAAGTTGCAAATAAAAAAACACACTCATGCTGTATTCTAGATATTCAGTGTACATCTTCATTGATTACCTATTAGGTTACTTTAATGGATGCGTTTAATTAAAATAATATAATTCAATAATAAAACATTGTATTACCAATACGAAAAACGATTATGAACGGAAAAGTTTTGTCAGTCTATATTTCCAGGGATATTTTGTACTTAATATTTTTCAATTTGTATATTATAGTAATATTGTAGGTTGCACTAATTGTCGCTAACAAAAAGAATACATACCCTTAAATCAAGACTGATTTACGGGACCGTACCGTAATGACCATCATTATTTATCTCATAATTATCAGAGATAGTGGAAAAATAGTATTGATATGTAAAATAAAATAGCTTTTAAGTATTAATATTATAGCTAAATTGCTTAGTTATAATAATTATTTAAAATATAATATATTATCATTAGGCACTAGTAACAATTACCGAAAACATTCTGATTCAAACAATATTATATGTCGTTACTCGTTATAAAAATTATAAACTGGACCATACTATACAGTACCTACATCCTGAGCCGAAATGTGTAGTCAAGCCACCGTTGGTGGTACCTACATATATTATTACATCGCTCAAAATTAGTTAAAATATAATAATCAATTATAATAAAATAGAATTGTGTATAGGTAATTACTGATATTATTATACGAAAAGAAGTTCCGTAGAATATTTCTTGAATTACAAAAAATAAATATAATCATATTTGTTATATTATTCGTTTAATACCCAATTTCATCAGCTGCATCTGAACTTTAAATTTAAAATGTCTAAATTTAGCTTACAACTATTCTTAACATTTTGAACATTTTATTGTGTATAGAAAATGACAATTAAAGTAATAGTGGAATGTTCAAAGTTTATGGGATTACTATATGTTTTGATTTATTATAAAATAATACAAATTGATGTACAGTACGAGTGAATATTCAATGACGTCAACATTTGAATTTCAATCGCACAAAATAAATGTATTTGACTTAACGTAAAACTCTTTTTTAAATTCCAGTAAAAAAAAAACTAATTAAGAATCTAATTTACTTTTTAATTTTCAAGTGGTCAAATTACGATTTGTACGAGTTTTTAAGTTTTTAATTAAAAAATAATTTACATATTTTCGTAATTTTTACAAAAAAAATATGACTTTGATATTCTATAATTGCGTAGTAAGAACCGCTTATGAGGCACCTTGTATTCAATTTTAAATCTTTTTACTCATATAAATATATATTAAATATATGTATATTTTACATGAAGCGAAAAATCTGAGGAATTCAAAAATTCTAAATGTTCATATCACAACAAAATTCAAAAATATTAAAAAAAATTATAAAATAAATATTAATTAAGAGCAAAAAAGTAAAATAAATGTTGTCAAAAACTAGTTTTATGAAAAATACCCGTTTTTATTAAATTGTCACCTATTATTTTAAATTACTCCCAATTATTTTGAAAATGACTAAACATTTTTTGGCAAAAGTACCAACTAGTTCTAATTTCTATTAAATGTTCAAGTCTTTGGTGCAAAATTAAACATGTTATGAATACTTAACTTCATATTGAAACCAGATCGTTTTTGAATTAGGTACCTATTACATTATAATACCAAAGTCAATTCCCGTTTTTCGATTATTCAGAATTATTTTTTTTTTTTTAACTGGTAAAAGTAAGAATTAACACAAAGTAAAAAATTAATTTACCATTGTAAAATAAATACATTCATGGCTCCGATTTTTAATGTATTATTGGCTTATATTTAAACTGTCAGTTGTCACAGAATTATGTTTGATAATATGATTGAATTATTTATAGGTAAATTTAAATTTCTTATCATTTCTAATGTTATGACACCTATTAATTTGGTAATTAATTTAAATAAAACCTTAAATGTAATTAACTAATTATTACAGACGAGTAATTATGAATAATGATTACTTAATGAAAGACAAATTAAATGTTCAATATTATCTAATATTATTTTCATGATCTAAAAATGATGTAGAATCAATTATAATTTGTTTAAATAGAATAATACACAGTGTATATATGTTATAGATTCATTAAAATTTTTATTTCCATACCTAAGTATTTTAATTGGATTATATACTATCGCAAATCGTTAAACTCTGTTAATTACTAAAACAATTGGTACTGATTTATATTTCTCGGAACGAATTTTGATTACAATAAATTATGAATTATGATTATAAAATATTTTGATTTTATATAGGTAGGTATGCATATAAGCAACTAAAATGTTCTTGTTTTTAATTATTTTGATCGTGTGTAAATGATTACACCGAATGATTAAACATTTTATACTACAAGTACGATATTATATACCTACCAGTATACAAGTAAGCAATCATCTTTTTCCTGTTTAAAAACATTTTATTATAATTGAACGATTGATGAGGAACATTACACTCACAAAACAATATAAAATCGTAAAAATTATTAATGTTGACATATTTTCCCGGTAATGTATTCGTTGTATAGTGATGTTTGGAAATTCAAAAAAATGAAAAAATGAATGAGATAAATAATTACTATTGAAAACAAAACTCATCATGTCACTGCGATAATCGTATTGCTATACTCATACGGTCTACGGCATGTCACCTGTAAGTTGGATCCGACGTACCAATAATCTAATCGAAATAGTAAAAATGGTTCGTCCATCACTTACTAATCGTAACGTCAAAACCAAAATGACAAAATGAAATAAGATTAGCTATCTTCTCTTACTGAATAATGAAGTATACAATTAAATAACCCGTGATGTTTCAAAAGAAACAATAGTTAAAAAATATATTCCCAAACTTATTTAAACTTTTACAATAGTCATTAAATTATTTATTTTGTTATATGTCTTTGCAAGTTAGCTCAGTGACTTGCGAACACAGCTCCTCGGCTAGAATAATGACATATCTTATGGTACCTACTATAGTATGTTACAAAATAGGTTTATTAATTCTTGTATATTTTTATATACAAATATTCACTTATTGCTTTTGAAAAAATTACGGATCTGTTTTGATCTAATAGTAATATACCTGGGGCGCGGACTGCGGGGAGCTGAGCACCTTTATATGTTTCGCATATTGAACATGTATAAAAAGAAAGGTATGTAATATACAATTAACTTGTTAGTATATGTTTGACTAGAAATTCTAAACTTATATTTGTCCATCATTTCTACAATTATTTTATATCGAACGTTGTCAACCTCCATTTAAATTAAAATTTTAACACAAACCCAGCTCACACCATTTTTTAATTTTATTTTGTCTCGTGTACATAATATAATTTAAATGAATACATGTTTCGTCACCGAGTGGTGTCTCAAAAATTTGTAATTCGTCCAATGCATAAATTGATACAAATTAATTACAGATTGGTACAAGAAACAATTAAGTAATTACACTTGGTTGGCTTCACAATGCACGTATTAAACTAAAGTTCACCTTTACACACGGTCACTGCCTGGTCTAGGGAAAAATTCTACTTAAAGTATTTCTTATAAGAGCTTATTATATACTACTAATTACTATTAGGGCTCGGATTTCAATGCATATACATTTGTTTTTCTAGAATGCTTGAAATTATGCTTTCTAATATACAAAAATGTGTTTCAGGTAAACACTAAACTAAAAACGAATTTTTTGGATAGATTTTTTTGCATTTTTCAAGATTTTTGACGTTTCAGTGCATTTATAAATGTTTTTAAGGCATTATTTATATTTCTAGGTAATTTTAAACTTATTTCTAGTGATTTAACAAAAAATATAAATAAAAAGATTTCATACACATCATATTGAGTACTAATAAACAACAAAGAGTAATCTTGTTTTGAAATAAAATGATTCACAAACTCAGGGATTAATTAATTAAGGGAATTTTTTTGTACCTTTTAAAAAAATGTTTAAGTCATAAATGCATTTTGTGAAAGGGCATTTTTCGATACATCTAAGGACATTAAAATCAGAGCCCTAATTATTATAATATTATACGAGTACACAATAATACGATATATTACCTGACGGCCGACAATTGAGAATTTCAGACTTCAGTCGCGTATTTTCAGTGAAATTCTGGTCCAAGTTATCTGGTTGCAAGTATAGTCAGTCGCTGAATGTATGTAGCCTGCAATAACAATTAATAACTGCGGTATAGGTAAGTATAATATTTATAACGTACCTGTAATATTAAACGGGAGGAAAAAAATGTGTTATAATGACTTCGAAAATTGTCGGGGAAGACAAAATGTTGTGTCCTTTTATCGAGCGAATTCGAGCGAAGTACAGTATTTCACCTAGTTACAAGGTATAATCATCCAACTACTGCAACAGGCTACTGCGTGTGAACGTTTATCATAATATTATGAAACGCTGAACGCGTTTATATTTTTATGTACGGGCAATGAGAATTATTATTTCCGGAATGCACGGTTCGGTTTTTTGTTATCGACGGTTTTTGGAATTTGCTTTTTAATATTCCCGCAGGACACAACATAATAATAATATTAATATGATAATTGTTATTACAGAACGTATAATATTATGTACGTAATATATTATACTAGAATGTTTGTTCCCGCTTCCCACACACGGAATTCAGACGCAGACGTTAAATAATCTTACGTTATTGAGTTTGGGAAAATATTTGACTCTGAAATGTGTTTTACGTAGCAGTATAATAAGCCGACAGATAAGACCACGTGTCGGGCATAAGATTAAATAAAATAATACACACTCACACAGAGGAAAGGTTCATGCCGCACGCAAGTCGTTCTGGCCGTAGAATATGATAATGCAAGTGGGTAAATATAATGGATTCGAAATGAAAAATCTGGAAAGCCATTAAGGTATTGCGTCGTAGTCACTCCATGTGCCGTGCCCCGGCGCGTCGAATCATCTACCCGCGCCTACGAAAATGTATTATTTTTTTTTCCCATTTCATTTCTCCCTCTTCCTCGGTCGCTCCCCTTCGCCGTAATATATTATAGGCAGGCACATAATAATAATAATAATAATAATAATAATAATAATAATAATAATATACATCATTAAGTCTCACCGTCTCCATCGCGGTGCGCGTCTCCCTCGTCCTCTCTCTCTCTCACTCTCCGCGTATAGGCTTTCTTTGTACCTGTTGCAGCTGCATAATTTTTTACGTAGGCACGATGGTAGTTATAGGTAAATCGTTCTTCTTCCACGTGAACGCACACATGCACACACAGGTGCCTCTCACCGGCGACAGGCGGTAAAGTGCTGTTCGTCCAAACGGAGGCGGGGCACCAACCGGAGCCCGCAGGCGTATCGAAGATCCCATCAACTGCCTCTCCCGGACGATACTGCGTCCGCCGCCGACTTGCTCGCCCCCCCGCCGCCCACCGCACCCGAGTCCTTAACAACCCCATTCTCCAGGACCATGGCCACACCTGGTTCCGCCGCGTGCAACGTGTCATTATTGTTACCGCGCGGCCAATGATCATATTTTATTCATCCCCCTTTTTTTTTTCGGGTATTCGGTTTTGTTTTTTTTTTTTTCCCACTCGCTTTCTCCTCGCCGCCGCCCGACGGTTTGAAATATTGTGTTTATTATTATACTATTATACGAGTATACGACGTGCTCAAATGCGCATTGGCTTTGCAAGTTGTATCACTCTCCATATTACTACTACTAGTTACTACCACTACTACTTCTACTACTACTACATCACTCCGACGTATACATATTATATACAACGCATAATATAATACGACGACGCAGGCTGCATTGTCAGACGTTTTTGAAAAGGTCAGCCGCGTCGTATACTGCTGCACCCTGCCGGGCGCGCGTCATTTCAACGGACGTCTTTTATCCTACCAGATATAATATATTATAATAATATATATTTCCAAACAATAATAGATCGGTATACGACCGCCTCTCTGAACCACCGGGCGAACAATACTGCAGTGTGTTCCGAATAATAAGAGGAGACGAATATAATATTATGTACATTATCTATACTATACTATAATCGTCATTATTATTGCTACACATAATGTCGAATGACACTCGCAACAACATATTATAAATCTCTCGTCGCGCAGGTATCACGAATATAAATACCTATATGTATAATGTAAGTCGTGTAAGGGACACCGCGGAGTGACGGGTAATAACGATTCTCGCTGAAGTCCGCGTGCTTTAAGCGACAAACGACACACAATTATGATTTTATTTCAAATAGACGCGTCGACAATAAATAAACTGTACAATACTGGTCGTTGGTAATAGGTATAATATACCATAACTATACACGCTTGCCGAAAAAACCACAGTGCAATATGTTTCGGTCGGTCTTACATGCCATAACTACCGAATTTACGTCGTCTAAGTTTGGTCAAACTACGATGCATTGAAAGTGTACATACGGCACCATTTAGAAATAAACTGTACCACGAGTCACGACTTTATAATGTTCTACATCAGAGGAAAGTATATGCGGTTACTTGTTGATATTGTAAAACATATATCTACATTAAAGTAAAATAAAATCATTAATTTTATTTTATCAATATTTAATAAATATATACCTTATCCGTGTTCAACCATATAATATAATATGTACGCAGTATGTATAATATATCATTTTTAACTATACTATATTTTTTTCTGCCGTATAATTTATCCTTCAATTTTTTTTTGTATTATATACCTACGTCATATAATTAAATAATTATAACTTTAGTTCATAGAACTTCTATGATAGAACTCATTGTGTAATGTGTGCATATACATTGTCATAAATTACAACACATACGAATTTATGAATATCGTGGCTATTAAATGGTATTTAGTTAAGATAAGATGTCTAAATACAATAATTATGCTCTTTAAATTGAATAATTAGGGAACGGATTTTTATGCAAGTATATAATTTGATTGAATGAAGATTTCTCAATTCTGATTAAAAATTAGCACGTTTCTAGCACCTTAAATAAAATAAAATGTATTCAGTATAAATTATAATATATTACTCGCATATTTTGAAGTAGGTAAATGTATTTTCGTAAATATTTTACGTCAATAGGTAGATTCGTATTTTTATTTTTGCCTGTATAGGTAAATATTTATATTCACAGGCATATTAAAACTAATCATTTTTCTGCTGAAAACATATTCATACTCTGTCGTAAATCGTAATAAATAAGATAATATAGGTAAACCATTTTTTTGATCGTCATATCTGCTATATGTAATATACTTTTAAAATTGTTCTTTAAATGTCGTGATTTTTAGTATATTTCATAAAATCATCACTATAAATAGCAGACTGATTTCATACCTAATAAGTGATTATCAATATTAAATCTCCGATCACCGTGTAGAGAAGACAAATATAAGATAGATAACTATTATGTTATTTGTACAATATACGATGTAAGCAATATTTCTATAACTTCTCCCGCTTAACATTTAACTAATTAGAGGTGTTAAATGTACTTCCTACTATCATTTTGAATTAAAATGTTATCTTTTAGAAATATTTCAAAAACAAAATTGTTTATTGTTATGACATTTTTAGAACCCTACTCAATAGTCGTAGTGACAGGGTTGATCTAGTTCGTTTCCTTGTTTTTCTATTTAGTAATTTTTATTTTTGTATGATATCAATTTTAAGAATGAATGTTGAAAAAAACATTTTGTAAAATATTTTATGTTTTTTCCTACTTATGTGGTATAGGTATGTTGTCAATTAAACAATAGTGAACATCGCAGTGTTAATTTTATTTATGAAATTATGTCAATCAACAGAGGGGCAAAATATGGATAATAATAATGTGTGTAAGAGTGTAAAGAACTAATAAATAATAATTTTATGGTCAAATAAAACACAGTACCTTATACGTATTAAAATGTAATGTTATTAGGATTGTGTGGGTACCGGACAAAAGCAATTAAAGTTTAATTTGAGTTTCCAATTTTTTGTGCGTACCCATTTGTCGATGTTGTGTATAGCAGTAGTTCTCAACCTTTTTGAATTCGCGACCCCCCATAATGTCACCAAGATGTCCCGTTGACCCTTTTATAATGTAAGCATTAAAAAATTGAACCAACTGTTATTATTGTATTTATTTGTGTATATATTTTACAAAAAAAAGGTATATTATGTACACTTCAATGAACGTTTTTATCGACTAATCGGTCTATCCAAAAATATGTATATATATATTATAACACTTACTACTAATTATAAGATTCTAAGTGAAACAATTTTTTTCCCACATGGATGACGACCCTAAAATAATTGTTGGCGACCCCCCGGTTCAGAATCGCTGGTGTATATAGTACGTATTTTCTGTCCAGTAATATTATTCTATATATATTTATGGTAGCAAATAAAAAACACACATCATTTTCATGCTTAAAAGTAATAATTACCATTTATTCTAATATCTAAAAATGAGTTTGTCCTATGAGACTTAAATACTATACTGGACCGTTTTAAATAAAACATAAAAGCTATATCAATTGATTCCTTGAGACTCGGGGAGCGTTTGTAACTTCGTTTTTAAACCCATATACCTACCTAGGTCGCTATAGGGTGGATCACAGATAAATTTTGTTTCGGCTCGTGAAAATCGAATATTTTTTTTTACATATTATAGGCGTTGCCATTAGTTACACACCTGCCGATAGTAAAATAGTTATTATGATTGAATATAATTGTATGTATCGTACTCATTAAATTTTGTCATTTAGGCATTAGCCCAAGTACTGTAAAGCTATTCCATACATAAATGTAAAATTGAATAACAGCTATTAAATATTACAGACGAAGTATATTATATGGTTGACGTTTATATACTGAAAAAAATAATCGACTTATTTTTTAACAAAAAACAATTATTAATACATTTCAGCTGAAGCAAAACGGAAACGATTGTTAAATCGATTCTTAAGAACATTCGGTGAATACAGATATCATGAGTTGGGTCTATATATTATCGAAATGACGCATATATTATGCAGACCCACAGTGTTTCACCAATTGTCACCGAATTTTGCACACTTATTATTTTAATCGTACTGGAATAGTATTCACGGGCAACACAGCCGTCGTATATAGAAGGAAAGGTGTATTGCCTAAATAGAATCAAAAAATACTCGACTGATTTATAGGATTCAGTGAAGGTTTAGACAGTAGATAGGTCCTGTTATTTTAGAGTGGCTTACCTGCAATTAATAATATTGATCTAAATTAAAATCATAACCGCGGGTATTCGTGTATTTCTGGTTGTAATATGTTCGTGAATTGGTTCACGCGAGAGAAAAAAGTCACTTATATTAGTTATTGCTATTCGCCGCACGTGGATGCCCTCCAATGGCCATCTCGAATTCGTTTATCCCCGGGCAACGCTCGATACAGCAATAATAACCTGAAATACCGTGAAAATCCATAATATATAGGCGTAGTATATTTAAATTATGTTAATGATATAACGAGTCTATTAAATAAATAATGATAGACAACAAAAATTGTAGTTCATAATGTGGAAGTGTAGTATAATATTTTTATTTATTCTTTGTAAATGCTTATGAAATCAGATAGGTATGCGCCAGACAGATATGCCATTAGAATTCAAACGTTTACGGTTTCCTGTGATGTGACTCACCTTTGCAATGACAATAATCAACAAAACACAGGAACCCCATCGCGGCATCGCTACAAGTCTGTAGATAACATTTAAAAAATCCTCGTTTCCCACACAATCAGTTGCCAAAATGAGGCCAGCTCACGCATCAGAAAAATGTCTGATTTATTCGCGTATATGTACCAGATGGAAAAACATAAATATATTGTGTAGATATGTAAAAGCACTTCAATAAACACAATCGAAACTATAAATATTAATTGTCAACATTTTTTTCTACACACATAAGAAAATTATCGAGAACAAATGAAACATTGTTATGAATAGTCCTATATATTACATTTTGGATGGAAGCGTATTATAGTGCAGGTGTACAGCTAATAATAATGATGATGATAATAATTATATGTACATACAAATATCTAATTTTAATGAAGTACAATAATTGATATCGATCTTTCAATGGTGTTCATTAGATGTATATAATATATATATATATTATATATGTATTTTTTATTTTTTATTTAATCTATATATTATATATAAACCAAAATCTAGCAATAGCGAAGCATTGCCGAGTCAGATAGTAGGTATAAAGTTATATGAATTATAACGAATAAAACATTGGTTATAATATTCTTGTCGGCTTTATTGTTGTTCTTGAGAGTGTTTAGTCAATTTCTAGATTTTTAATTATTTAGTTTTTACCATATGACTGAAAATAATTATGTTTAATTTGAATTTCGAAATTTCTCACCTTATAATACCATGCTGCACATCCGCGCGTGTGTCGTCCGTCTTACCTCACATACTCACGACTGGCTTAACGTATAGACGTGTTCTTATACCTTTAAATTTGAAAAAAATTATATTATTTTTTATTTTACCTCGATAAATTCATTCTAATATTTAAGCTCATGACGTGAAATTGTGACATCTGAGCGTAAATTGATCGTGGTATATATTATGTGTGCAGTAAAACGTATACAACATCGGTCCGGGACACGGACGGCGTCGTTCTGATCCACTGTCCAACGATGTGAGGATAACGTTCTTTTAGAATCACGGAAATGTATTAGGTATATAAGTTATGGCATACTGATTGCTGATCCTCAAGTCTTAACGAATCGTGTGGTATAAAGTACCTAAACAGTCTACTATGTATGTACCTACTTGCATGACTACATATCAATATTTGAGCACCCATATTAAGGAAAAATATATTACATTTATTTTTGTTTACAGTATTGTTTGCACGGTTAGAATATCTTGTAAGAATTTAGTAAATATTGGAACGGGCCAATGTAAACTCGGCCCGTTAATATAAAACATATATCAAGTAATCAAAAGGTCCGTTGTAAATTTACTGTGTTAAATTTCGTCGATAAAATCGCGTATCGTACAAACATGATCTTATTTAAAGTGCATGCGACGAAAAATTGTTTCTTATTGCATTCAAAATTGAATGTTTCGGGAAACCACACTTAAAAGTACAAAAATAGTGAAATATAAAGTAACGAATATATATATTACTACAGGTTCACAGCATTACCACCGGTATCCATAGGTATAAAATAAATTACTTTTTATATCTACATGGCGAGTTTATTCTTTAAAAGTGAGTAATTTTTTATATTACATTTCAACAATTATGAAAATAAACGAATCATTTTAGGATCGTTTTCTCTGGATAATGATATCATTTTTAAAAAATAAAGCAGTTAAGACTCAAACTTCTAATTTTACTGTATCGGAAAAAACAGCTGTTTTTTTAATACCTAGTTATAAATTGCAATATTCACTTGAATATTGTATAATATAATTATGTATGTTTTTCGACTATTCACGTGTGTGAAGTGTATACGATATATCGACAATTCGGGTGATTGCAAATCGTTCTCATAGCGAACAGGTAATAGTAAAAATACTAAATATTAAGTTGGGCTTG